CTCCAACCTACTAGCGATGGCCTCCAACCTACTAGCGATAGCCTCCAACGTACTAGCGATGGCCTCCAACCTACTAGCGATGGCCTCCAACCTAGTAGCGATAGCCTCCAACCTACTAGCCATGATGGCCTCCAACCTACTAGCGATAGCCTCCAACGTACCAGCGATGGCCTCCAACCTACTAGCGATGGCCTTCAACCTACTAGCAAAGGCCTCCAACCTACTACTAGCGATGGCCTCCAACCTACTAGCGATGGCCTCCAACCTACTACTAGCGATGGCCTGGAACCTGCTACTAGCGATGGCCTCCAACCTACTAGCGATGATGGCTGCCAACCTACTGGCGATAGCCTCCAACCTACTACTATCAGGTTTGTTTTAGTTTGACCGGATATACTTTAGTTAATGAACTACAGGCTAACATGTAGTTCAATAACCAAACCTGTAGTTCACCAAGTGAGAACAAGTACGTGTAACTATATGATTGTTTTGACTTACTTATAAGTTGCTTACTCTGGAAAAGTTCGATTGATATAAGTATCTTGTATTTTCTGAGAACTGAGTTATATATCAGATTTATCTTAGTTATGAACTAGTTACAACTACTTATTTTGAAGTTAAATCTAGTTAGTAAACATTTTTGTTGTAGATAACATGATTATTTGGTACTGCTTTGTATATTTGCAGATTTTTTGTTCGGGCTCCAACTGAGGGCGTCGCATGGGCTGGGGACTGGGCGGGGTGGTCCTACTATATACAAACCATATATATATATATACACATATCAGATATATTTGTTCATATACTTTTTCTGCGCATTCCTCACGTCGGCCTTCGGTCGGCCTTGTGTCGGCCCCTCGTTCAGAACGATGCCCGTTCGGAACGTCGGCCCTGACGTCGGCCTTACATAATGTGTAGGGGAACCTACTCGTGTAGCTATAGTTTCGGTACGTCGGCCTTTTGTGGGCCCTATCAGCGACTGCTTGCGTTCAAAATGAGTTTTCTTTTGATAGCCTCAGCTGGTCGTTCAACTGCATCCAGACAACTTCGTGGCGCCGTGTGGATGGAGAATCCAAAGGGATCACGGTGGTGTGGTGGAAACCTGTAGGAAATAAACGTTGCTGCGTCCGCCGAACTGACGGATCCGTTGGCGAAACCGCATGAACAAATGCGAAAGGGAAAAACAACGAATAAACTGTACAAATCCATGAAACAAATAACTAGTTACCTCATAGTTATACATATATAGTTATAAACTAGATATAACTAACGTTGGAATACATTACACGTGATAGCAATAAATTAGTTAAAATGTATTTTTCGATGTTAACTAAACTATAAATAGCATAACCAAAACAACCCTTTGTAGTAGCGATAGCCTCCAACCTACTAGCGATGGCCTCCAACCTACTATTTATGAGGGCCCCCAAATTTGGTGACTTTGGGAAGACTTTGTGCCCAGGAAGACCTCCATGGAGCGCGTCTCCGTCATCGGCTCGCTCCGTGATGGGCGTGATGCTGCGCTCCCCATGGCCCTCACGACCGGCCTCAACGCGTGGATGCGTCAACTGGTGTTTCGCATGGTTGCGTGGGATGCAGATGCCAGGCCACGGTGAAAACAAGGGGATGGAATTTCGATTTGCACAAATGAAGTGAGAGATGCAATTGATAGATGAACATGATGTAGTATGATGTAATATGTGCTCGGCTAGTTAGAAAAACCCAGCGCCCTGGTTATAAGTTCCCATTTCCTTTTGAGTTTGGGCGTATTTTTTGAAGGAAATCCGTGGCAGTCTGGCCATTTTGGAGGCCTTCAGCGGTGGAGGTGCTGGATGAGTTGGATGCTGATCAATGGGCTTCAGGCAGTCTGGACAGATGATCGCTTGTGCTTGCTCCAGTATCTCAGCCTTTGCAAGACTGATAGACTGACAGAACCATGTTGAAGTAGAGCCACTGGAGTATATAACACACGAAGTTTCCTCAACATTTTAAGTTTTTGCAATGACAATTTTGAGCCGTCACACCACAACGCTGCAAAAATGTAAGAGAGTCTGCTTGCAATTCAGAATCCAGACGAAGCCAGCTTGGAGCTGCGCTACATTGGGCGGTGCTAAAGACTGCCAGTCGGGCAGTTTATGACCTGGATGATATTGATGCAGGTTTCATGAGATGTCATAGGCTCCGTTGCGAAGATAGCTCGCTTTTGCCCATTCAGCAAGCTGGCGGGGGTTAGCAGCATGTGCAATGACAGGTCGTCACAATCCTTTCCTCGGGACATGCAATTCAAGGCGTGAATGGGTCTTGGCGGCCCTGATGGGATTGTTTGCTGTTTGAAGATTTTGGATTTCATTCTGCATCGTGATCGCATCGTAAATTATGCTGCTGTGAATAGACTTTGGGGAGTTCCTGGGGTCGGGTTTTGGGAGCAGCAAGCTGGCCATGGTCTTGCCAGGTCCCCACAATTTGCCTCCATGCTGACGCACCTTTCAGCCGCGCACAATCCGTACATTGGTTTCTTTCTTGACCACTGCCATGTGAAGGCTTGAGAAGCCTCACTTGTGGCCACCAGGCCACCAAACAGAGGTCAAAGCGCAATGATCACTCAGGATTCCATGTTCATGCGGCTAAGAACATGGCCTGGGTGTTCATGCTCAAACTTGTTGGAACACACATTGAACACCCATCATGTACCTTCAACCCACCTACACCAGCAGCAATTGCTGGCACAACACCCACGCAAACACACGCTCCACTGACTTTGAATTCGATCTTTGATTTAATTCCAGGATTGTGCTCAGTGGCGGTTTTTGTGCCCCCAAACTGACGTGTCACAGAGTGCAGGTTGGTCAGCTAGATGACCAACCCACTTAGTGTCCCAGTCGAAGATGCGGCAAGAGCTCGCAGTGGGACATTCTGAGAGATGATGTGTCTGATCGCGCGAGACAATGGCCTGAGTCATTTGTGCCTGGCGAGAATTTAAAGTCTCCCAGTGCACGGTTGAGGGCGTCCGGACGTAGCACTTTGCACTCTCCGCACTTCGAGGAAAATTGCCCTCCGCCCTTGAAAAGCAACGCAGAGCCGTCAGAGCCACACCCCACCACCGATGACTTCCACATGATTTCCACGACCACAGGACCCCATCTTGCCGTCCCGTGGGACTGGCGCGTTTGCGGACCATCTGACCACCGCACTTATTGCGTGGGTCTGAAAGGGAGTCTGAGATCCATTTGACACCTGAGAAAGATGCTCAGTATGATTAATACCGGATTTTTCTTCTTGGAGAAACCACAGTGGAGAATTCTGGAAGCTCAATTGCTCAAACAGCACTGCGATACCCTAGGTCAAGTCCAGGTACTCGGTACTTTGTACATTGAAACAGGTGGTTCTTGCAGAGCAGATGACTGTGACTAAGCAGCTTTTAGGGTCAAAGGACCCGGCTTCCCTGACAGATTCTATGCAGCTGCAGTGTGCTTTTCCACGGGTGGTCCAACAGTCAAGTTGTCCAGCCCGCCTTCGAGGGTTCACTGGTTCATTCACTCAGATTAGCTGCCCATGGGCCCAGAACCTGAGAGCAAGGATGCTACGAACGGGGCTCCTGGCATCGCTACTAGTAACAAGAAGTTACTAGGTGCTCCTGGCCTTACTACTAGGAGCAAGGACGCTACTAGGAACAAAGGGCATCGCTACTAGGAGCAAGGAGTTTCGTTTTTTGATGGAAACTTTCCGCGAGCATGAACACAAGTTGTGGTAAGACCTGTGGTAACACCTACCAAATAACTAATCACCTGTGGTAACACCTGTGGCAAGTTGTGGCAAGTTCAATAATCACCTACCAAATGCCTTCATGGGGTGTCCATTTAGCATGTTTGGACAAGTACAACTTTGGTGCACAAAGAGACTGAAGGCAAGGACAGCAGCCGAGGTCAACAGAGAGCTTTCATGCAGCCCCGGCTGCAACCTAGATATATTTTTGACTCAGCTGAATATGTTATCACCATTCAATCGTTGGAATCTATGCACTTTCAAAATGCATTCATTCTTTTCCTCCATGTGTCTGCGCAGCTCCTTTGTCCGCTTGAACTGGTTCTGCGCCGACACTGTCGTCGACGCCTCCTCTATCGCCCAACGGTCATTTGATCTCGTTTGTGGACACTGGCGCGGAGCTAGGGAGCATCATTGAGGGCAGCAGATCGGAGGGAAAATTTTATCCAAATGTAACGCATGCGCTCGATGAGGATGTGGAAAAACATGGTCAATCAACAAGTGTTTGTAATTCTTAATTTTTTGGATCTGAAAAAAGTGCTGTACAAACAATCTGAGCGCTGTGATCGTGTTCACCCTTCATATTATGGTCCTAGGACCTTCCAATTCGATCCGCACTTGCCAGGTCCAGCAAGAACTCGAAGACATGTGCTGTGCTAGAACAGCACTGCTCCACAAACTCTACTGGCAGCCGCGGTTTCCTTCAGAAACTCTACACTGGCAGTCACATTGACGCCACGATTTGTAGTAACGATTTGTAGTCAAATGCGCGAGCAGATTGTTGGTTCACCGCAGCCAAGCCCCACAGGGCTGCGGACACCAATGTCTCCATTTGAAGATTCTGATGCTTTTGGGGGGCGCCTTGGCAGTGCAATGTTTCAAACCCTCCGCGAGAGACGGACGGTTGGACAGTTGCACTTTTGCAGTGCAACTGCACTATCGCAGATAGCATGGCACACACCCCAGCACCAACTCCCAACTCGAGAGCACTCCACCCGCCTGGGTCCGCAGCACTCACCGGACACCAGGCGCAACACAGTCTCACGTGCAGTTGCCGCCTGCTGACCTTCGTCAAAAAGTGCCCTATGCACGACTAGACAAGGACGTTCGTGCGTGGTTGGCATTACCTGGCCGTGGCCGTACTTTTGCCGCAGAGAGGCTTTGGCCCTTTGGCAGTATCGACCTTGGAACAGCATGAGCCACACCAACAGATCCTCCAAATACTTCTTCAAGAGCAACTGATGAGCATGAGTAAGTGTTGTGAACTGTCTATGCTCCATTCTCGGCCGTTTTGAGATGCCGGGCCTTTCGATTAGTGGAACCCCCAAACTCCTGAGAATGGACTCTCACTTTGATCAAACACATGAATGGTGACTCACTTTCTCTCGAGTGGTCTAGGTTCTGAGACATGTCATTCAAATCCTTCCAGCGAACTGAGCGGCAGCATCGTGTACACTGGCACAGTGGCCACGGCGGCACTAAAGCAATCCTCCCGCTCGAGCACTACATGCTGGCGAAGGGATTCGCTGACCGTCCCATGCAAGGGCAAAATTGCGATACAGTGGGTAGAGAGGGGGTGGAGTGGCTTGATGGCTTGAATCATGCGCATATTCACTGGTTTTCCCTGGCCGGGCTGCTAGAGCAAGCGTCATTTTAATGATTTCCGAGAATCTTGCCCAAAATACACTAGTCACCAGTACTGTTGGGGCAGCAGTGGTTCCAACCTTGGAGTTCAGACTCAGACCCAGTTGGTGCTTCACATTCCTTTCGAACCTGCTGAACGATGTTGATGGACACTTCACTTGCACTGTATGTACTGCAGCTGCTGAAGAGCAGAGAGGGGGCCGCAGTCTTCTGCGTATCACCGAAGGCGCTTTTGCAATGAGTCTTCGCTGGAGCCATCAAGCTTATGTTCACCACATTAAAATACAGTACGTCTTATATTTGTTTCATAATTTCTTTCATGTACACACACATATCAATATACTTATATATATATATATTCATTCTCCACCTCAGCTTTCTTTTCTTTTTCTAGGTAGGTCATGAAGCGCCCTTCTGCAACGGCGAAGAAGGCGAAGACTGTGAAGAAGCTGGGAGGCCAACATATGTGTTCATGCCACCAACCTTTCCAGCAACCCGGGCACTATACTCACTGACAGTCAGACGTTCGTGGTTGAATATGGCACATACTCATGGTATACTTTCATTCATTATTGTTTCTGGGTGACTTGCATGCTGGGGTCGGCTTTGGAGCCGCGAAAAAAGCCCAACTTGGATCCCCTGGTGTCCTCCGCGCGAGGTGCGGATTCAGGGCTTTTCGTGTTAACTTTCCACAGAGTGGACCAACTGTCATCCAAGAGCTGCTGTGGGCTGTAGGTCCACTGGTCTTTGCCGAACAGGCGTGGGATGAGAATGTGCCCACCCGTTGTGTTGCTAAAAGTGTCTTTTTGGGCATTTTGGGCTTCCATTCAGGGCTGAAACACGTGACATGGCCATGATCACTGAAACCGATTGGCCTTCAGTTCAGATGGGTGGCAGAGAAATGCTTGAGGCCTTTGACGCAGCGACCTTCGCCAACCGCTTCCGCTATGGGGAATTTGGAGATGCAGTCGCCCAACGCCCAGGTGAAACAGGTGGACAAGTGATGGCCTCCAACCAAAAAGAAAGAAGCGATGGCTGCAACCTAGAAGCGATGGCCTTCAACCTAGTAGCGATGGCCTCCAACTTAATAGCTGAACTTTCCAGGTTTATCGGTCGGTCTGATTTTGGGAACCCAAGAGCTGGCTTTCGGACGTTGGGATCGGGCGACGAACAAGGTCTTCACTGAAGCGCGACGTTCTGCGGTGCTGTGGGGTGGCCCAGTTCAACTTCTTGGAGTTGCCGCGTAGAGCATTTAAGAACAAGTGTTCTTGTCCTTGCTGATAGGAAGGGACGGCGATGTCCATGACCTAAGAAAAAATCATAGGAGCAAGGGGTTGTAAGCTCGGGACATTTTGCTAGAAGTTCCGTTACAGGCTGGGCTTCCTGTGTCTAATTAAGCTCACCCGAAAGCGTTGAGTTGAGAAGTCGAGGACTGCCATGGAAGGCCAGGACTATCCTGGCTTTCTCAATGCAACACAGGGAAGATTCTGGTTGTGACACGCCCTTCAACAATTCCTTTTCGATGCTCTGAGGTCTAAAAAGCCTCGAATCCTCAAGTGGTCGATGACCAAAACTGGGAAGAACTCCAAGACGCCGTTGCTGGTGGTACACTACATCTCGGAGATGTGCTGCTTGCCAGATATTATGAGAAACATTTCATAGGTTCAGGACAGAGCAACATTTACCATATAATACGGTACAATACGTCCAATAATGGAGAAGGACCCTGCAAAAAGAGATGAGGCTCCAATGCATTTTTTTAGTCCCGGAGTCTTGAGCTTCCTAAGATGGCCAAAGAAGACCATTTGAAGATCAAGTTCCTTTGTGGTCCTTGCGGCAAATGGTGGACTTCAGTCATGCTCTAGGCAAAGCAGGGGTGGGTCTCTTGCCAACCGGCGTGGCCAGCCGGCATTTCGAGTGCATCAATCGTGATCCGACTGGGTGGTGGGTGGAGCTCGTAAGGATTGGCTTGGCCTTTTAGCAACACCTTTGTGGTTGACCAAGGTTTGGTCATTGTGTGCAGCATGGAAGAACAAGTCACACCATCGCAGACCCACCTGTGCCTCTAACCCCGGACAGTAGTCTTTGCTTAGCCAGTACCAGGCAGCACGGGAACTCGCCGGACACGCAGTTCAGCCTCCGTCCCATCAGCTGACGCCGTGCCTTGGCAATAGGTTGGTCCTCCGAAAGCATCATTAATAAACACGTGTATTGTATGACTTTATTGCATGGTGTTGTTATTTGTTTACTTTTTGATACATATATACTACCCTCGGAAACATATTTTTGTTTCTGCCGGGGCGGGCGTTTCGTACACAACTCCTTACTCACATGCCTGCCGCAGACGCTTCCTGAACATTTTTTTTTATGTACATCCATCTGTCTGCAAACATGTGTTAGGAGCTCCTGCACTGGAATCCACACCCTTCAGAGTCACAAATCCTTACCCATCAGAGGCTAGTACATATGTACATATACATATGTATATATATATATTATATATATATGATAACACCACATAAATATTATTAGTATGTGTATATATATATATACAGAATTAAACAGATTCATTAAAACATACAGGCGGCATCATCAAACACATTTCCAGGCATCATGCTTTTAGAGCATGCTGATGCTGCCAGTAGACATGTGGAACAGGTGCCCCCGTCACGGATGAATTGCGCCTGAGGTGTCTGCTCGCTGCCCTCCACTGTGGTGGTCACTCGCGTTATGGGTGCCTCGTCCATCCAGAACAAACCGGTTCTTTTTTCTTGGCCTACATCATTCATGCCGTTGAGTTGGGGGGGTGCGAACTTTTGATGAACGATACACGTCCACGCATCCAGAAGCAGAAGACAGTATTTGAAGACAGTATTTGCAGACGGTATTCCATGATATTCCATTCAGCAATGTGAAGGAATCAACCATTAACGATTGATGATTCATAGGACCCATATTTCATGTTCTTGGTTGCCAGCGTAACTGCCACACTGCCACCCAGGCCTTTGCAGAATTTGCTAGGGGAAGCTCTGGCAAAGGCACGGCAGTCGCTCGGTCGTCTTGGTTCACCACGTTCAGCTGGATTTTCACTCGCAAACAAGGATGCAATACTTTACTCTCATTTAAGGGCATGTTTCATAGGTTCTTGCTTGTTTGTTTGTTTGTTTTGTTTTTGTTTGTTTATTTGTTTGGCTTGTGTGTGCTTCAATGAAGAGACTCTTGCCACCTCCTCCAAAGTCAGCAAACGGGGTGGGGAGGGAGTGCAACCTGTTTTATTGTGATGTGTTTCATGGGTCGAACCCGGTGAAAGATGGTGAACGCCGGGTGTTTTCTCGCAGCTGGTCCCCCGTCACAAGCTCGCCCTCACAGCGGGCACCCACACGCGAGGCAAAGGCGCCAAGTGGCCACCAGAATCCCCTGCTGAACCTGTCTCCATCCCTGGGGACCGGGATTGACCGTGTGACGACCGGGATGGAGCGATTCGAAGGATACTACGGGATGGTGCGAAGAGAAGGTCTCTTAGTGGTGGCCAACAATGTCTTCCTGGATTGTCGCAAAGGTGTTCTGAAGTTTTTGCAGTTTAGCAGCGCTGCAAGCGCTGGGGCTTGCCAAGCCGCCAAGCTTGAAGATGACGGAATCCAGAATCTGCGTGGATGGAGTCCTTTTCAGCCTTGACGTTTGGTAGATGTGTGGTGTTGCACACAAAGCCTCTTGGGCCTACAAGAAAGTGTTTTTTCGTCCAGGAATCAGGAAGATCGCTTTTGCTCGCAGGACTTTCCAAAGCTCCTCTACACAGTCCTACACGGCGGAGCTCAAGGTCAAAGCGAACGACAGGCCGATGGAATCAGTGCGGATGGTTCACCTCTGGTTGTCTGGGAAGATCTGCGTGTTGAAGGTGAAAGATCTGGTTTCCCCAAAGAGTTGCCTGGAACTGAAGAGAAGCGGCACCCGACTGGACGGAAGCTACCTGCGCCTAGTACACCTGCTTTTGCGGGTCTTCTTGGCAACGCACAAGAAAGAATAGGAAAAGAAGAAGGTAAGGAGCCCTTGCCTTCTTTTGCTAAGGACGCATTGTCTGTATTTTCTGATTTGTCTATCTAATTCTATATCTTTATGGCGGGCGATGATGATGATAGGTGACCTTTGGCAGGTCAAAGAGGCGTTGACCTCCATTCTTCGAGAGCAGTGATTCGATGGGCTGCCAGCCATGCGTGGTCGTTTTTTGTGCCCACACAGAGTGCACACTGTTGGGATTCAACAAGATCCCTGCACCACACACATGGTTCCTGCCATGCACGATCAATGAACAATGCCACGCCTCAAGCACTTCTCACCCACGATGGGGATAAGATAGGCTGGTGTCATGGACTTCCCATGTAGCCAGCCACTAGCGTGTTCCAGCATTTTCCTTTGTGATGCTTAAAGGCAATATTTGAGCTATGGGGCAGCGTTCTATGATCACCTGAATTGAGCCTCCAGAATCAGTTTCTCGACTGACCGGGCTCGAGGTTTGAGTGTACAGCCACCACATGCTCTTTGCTGGTCAACTCTACGGCAAAAGAGCTTTCGAGAAAAAGATGTGACACCGACTAGCAGGTGTGCCGATTCGATGCTGAACATGTCCGCCTGAGGCAGACCAAGGTAAAGAAAGTCATGCTCTGCTGAGTTTTTCATTTGGAACTTGCTTTGACGTGGTAGCAAACATGCTGAAGCTTGTTTTGGTTCAACTGCACAAAGCTAGGATCATCATGACTCCATGGGTAGCTGGTGCACTTGAGCCAAACTAAGTGTCTGCCACACAGCGGTGGCATTCGGATGGGGAAACCAGGGGCCACATTGTATTCGGATGATACATCATTTCTTCTCCTTTAACCAAGGGTGTCAGGCGATGTTACTGATCCTTGGTAGTATCACTTGTATCATAGTTGTGACGGTTTAACAGTAATGGGGGGAAACTGGCTTGTCACGTGTGTTGTGTTATGTTAGACAGCTTTGAGTCAGTCATCGGATATATGATACCAGGGTGCAAAGCAAGCAGAATCATTCGTAGATGCGTGGCATGCCGCCGCTTTTCCTTGCGTTTGTCAGCACAAGTTGCGTTTTGACCTCGACGTGGGCATGACCCAGGACATCATCTAGTGGCAATGTCGAACCGTTTTGGGTGCCTTGCTTGTGTGGACCAAGCAACATGTCACGAGTTGTGGGTTTTCAAAGCTCCACTGGCACCCTCAATGTGGTACTCAGATGTACTCAGCGGGTTAAAGCCTGGCTTAGACCGCCATAATAATATATAATAATGCAGACTCTGACTCTGTTGAATGAGAAAAGAATAGAAAAGACATCATACCCCCCCCGAAGCCCTGGGATGCAAAGCCATACTGATAGGGGTAGGAGGGTTTGATGAATCAACAGTCTACACTAGACCTACAAGTTGTGATCCTCAGAATTCGCCGCTTCGCTTTGTGCGACTTCAGAACGATGAGCTCTGGAGTGGAGAGGAGGCGAGGCCACAGACTGGCGGTTGGAGCACGTCCTTTTCACACGAAAAAGGCGGTTAGACAAGGCCATGAACAAGTACAGTACATTGAGTATCATAACCCGCCCAACGGCCCAACAGCTGGTGTGATGGATTCTTTTCTAAACCTACTTGGAACCTTCATTGTGCATCCTACACTAATCTTGGGTGTTTGGTCGTGGGCTCGTATTCGCTGGAACCGAAAGTCAAACAATGTTAAGCAGCTCAAATCCAAGTATATAGCTCGATTGGAGTGATGGGAGTAGCTTTGGGTAATTTCCTGCTGTTCTTCTACATGCACAAAAACTGTACTTCAATAGGCTTACAGAGGAGCATTTGTGCCTTTACCCTTTTAGAGTGTGGATTGAAGTAGCCATGGCGGCCTGGATGTGTGTTCGATTTGCTTTCAATTTTAATCTACAGCCTGTAGGAGCTTGCAGTATGTGCTCGGTAAGTGGCACTGTCAGACCTTTTTTCTGATTTTCCAGTGACCAGTGACCAGTCGAGGTATTGTTTCCCTTCTCGATTGTGGTGGTCTTCTTGGCCATCTTCGCGGTGCTCTTGTACTTTCTTTGGGAAGGTCACTTGGGGGTGTGTCCAGGGCAAAGTATGGTGTGCAGGCCCACCTGATGCTTGAGGTGTTTTTCACGTTGCGAGAGGTCCTAAGGACAGTGAATGATTTTAGGATAGAATTGAGACTTGCGCTAGACATAGAATTTTAGGATAGAGTTTCGTTATTTCGGAGGATGTTTTATTCTCTTTTAGCACAGTCATTTACTGGATCCATATTTATCCTGCTTGGTAGAAGGAAGGGCCTCGAGTTGCGTTGAAGCTGCGTGCCCCATGGCGTTGGGCGGATGGCGAAGTGCGCTACGACTTGCATTGCTCGGATGGCTTGTACTTCCAGCCATGGGATTGGATTGGGTGGTGGCCAGCTTGTACAATGGGACTGACTCATGTGACGCCAACTTGTTAGTCGAGAATTATCAACTCAATGATCCAGTGGACATTTGCAGCGGATGGAGGAGGTCGTATCATGTCATCAACTCGTCGTCCTTGTATGAAGTGCTTTGGCAAGATGAGTCTTGCACCAGCGTCTTGAAAAGTCCCATGACAAATCGAACGATGGAGGGAATAAGTTTTTCGAAGTCCAAGTACACGCTTGGAGAGTGCTCGACACTTGATCGCGGCTCAAGGTATGTCGGTCAGATTTGGTCGGTGAAGCATCTGGACTGGCGAGAGGATATTTTTTTTTTTCCTGTCCTTGACCTTCTTGCTCAAACAGACGTGTGTTTCTGTTCCGTCAAGCATTTGTTCAACTAGAAACCCTTCCTGTCAAGCATGATCAGGACCTGTCTGTTGGGGAACAGTTCACTGTCACGGGCCATTTAAGGTATCAGGTGGTTTCGCTTCCCAGCAGTGCTGCCGTGGCATCGTATTGCAACGACTCCGACTCCGCTGACGGTCTGTTCCAGATGGAGATCTCGCCCCCGGAGACCTGCATTTCAGGTCGCAGTCTTGCCGGAGGTGGTTCTGCGAAGCTCAGTTGAACAGCGATTTATGGCCGCTGATTTTTCGAACGGACCAGCCATGGCATTCGTTTTTCCGGTGTCAATCTAGAATTCCACTGCCGTGCGATATGTTCCTCAAGGTTTTAATAATAAAGCATTGGCAACCGTGAACCCCCAAGTTTTGTTGCTCTTGTGGCTTTGCAGGAAATGGTCCGGTGGCAATGGGAGTGATTTGACCTACAGCAGTTGGTCCACGTCCCCTCTTTGTGAGGCAGATCCCGATTCGGTGCTTCGAGGGTCAGGGAATGAGCTGAGTTATGGATCCATTTGCAGCCTTAATCGCTACATCGACTTGACCACCCAAGCTACTGCAGTGTCTATGCCGGCGTGCATCCTTGATTCGGACTGTTCAGATATCCCCTTTGAAACGTCCGCATCTTTGGCTGCAGCTGCATGGTTAGCACCGACCGTTTTGGCCCAGAGCCTTTGGTGGTTTGTCCTTAACTTCCAGGTAGACTGATCGACGAGAGGTGCATCGACTTCCAATGTCCAGCAATGACTGCGAGGGGGGGTGATGACTGCTTTAAATATGAAGCCTTTGCTTGACTGCGTTTCACAGCATCGTAAATGTGGCTGTGGCTCAAAGCTAAGCTGCCATCCAAAACCACTCGGTGTTTGGATGTGTTTGGGTCTTGCTTATACAATATTTTATATTCATCATATAAATGAATATAAATGATATGTATAATGTATACATACAGTATATACTGCCTGCTATTGAGCCATATCCATGTAACCTGAGAACACATGTGCGGCCGCCAAAGAGCGGCTGTTCTCGACAGCTTTCATGCTGCTGAAACCACGAGTCAGCCACTGGGAGATGAGGGAGATGAGATTGCCAGCCTTTAAGTACCAGTCTCCAGTGTGATTGATTCATATTGATTCATTGAAACTCTGCTGTGATTTGTTCATCCCATGCTTTGACCAGTCCCCGCTCGGCGTTCCACTCACCAGCCGAGACCAGGAGCGCCGTGGCATCGAAATCGGGGCACGGAGAGTGTCTACCTGGGCGCTTGCATCTCGGGCGCGTATCGTGCATCGTGTTGTTGTCTGCCCGCGGTTTTGTCGTGGTTTTTGACTTCGGTTTTAGAAGGCCTGTGAGGGGGACAGGCCTCTCAACAGGTCAGAACTGTGTTCTTGAGTACGCAGCAACACTTCCAGATGGCCCTTGAAAGGCAGTAAGGGGTCATAGGAGTGAATCTTTTACCCAGTGGGCGCTCATGGAAGTGTTTGTCAAAACGGTCCTGGAAACCTGCTATGGTACCTGAACATGGCGCAGGATCAGGCCTTCGCTTTTTGTTGGTCCCAGAATGCACCAGAATTCAAATCCCATCATCATGCATCAAACCGCCAACGTCCCTTTCGTCCAACTCACTTTTCGGCCTGCCCAATTTCACATTCCTTTACAGGCAATGTGCTGCATTCTCCTCGTAACTCTGTGAGAGGCGTGTGGGTGGGTGGGTGTGTGTGTGTGTGTCACACCCTGGACAAAGGGTCTCACCCCACCACTTTCAAACTCTCTTACCCACAGGCAGGGGCACACGGCATCCATGACCTACCGTGTGCAACGAAGCTGCGGTCATGGATGGGAAGGGAAGGCTGATCACCTTCCTGTACCTGCTCTCAACACACTGACTCCAATGGTCCACCCTGCCGCTGTTTGTTGGTTCAATGGTTCTTCATGCTACCACCCCCAAACCCACCGCAACCTTACAGCCGACTTGCAGCCGCGCTGAGTGTCCGATCGTCTTGTCGAGTGCCACTGCAAACAAGGTTAAACCATACTGTTTTCACTGACCTTTGCGCCCTGCGGTTCTTCGCCTTTCTTCCCAACGTGGTAATTGCATTAACTGAAAATCCAAGTTCGAAGTGTGTCCTGCTCAGCCGTCCCACTCGGGTGCTGAGTGTGATCCCCTTCACAGGGGCGCTGTTTTTGCATGGGAACGCAACCACCCCAACGCTCCACCGATCACTGGAACATCACAGGAAGGCACCGACACCCTCACAGAATCAACCGCCACACCGGCCGCCGGGCCAAAAAACGGTTCTTGAAGAATCCTTCAGATTCCGAACTTCTGATTTCAGATTTCAGCATTCAGTGTTCCTTTCATGTTTTCCAATCATGTGCGTGTTTCCCTGTTCGCTATGTTGCTGCCGCGATTCTTTCATTGACAGAACTCAAGGATGAGCATTACGACTCTTCAGCTTAATTCGAGATGCATGAACACACACCTACTAACAAGCTTACATTTTACACCACCTTACAACATACTCACCACTGACACCAGAGATGACACATTCAACAACAATGACCCACCACAAGACAATACAACTCGGCATTTCTCCGCTGCTGCCGCGCTGCGCCGCGCCGCGCCATAGCTACGACCACGACATGCAGTTTCCGTGGCCCTACGCTCACGCCACGCCACCACCATTACCTACCACTCAACCTCAACCCACATGGCCGATGCCACAAGCATCAACTGCACCCACTTTTCCCTCGACACAACCATCGGCATACCCTCACCCACAACCACAACCTTTTCAACCACCACCGTTGTTGCCCACCCCTACCGCCACTGCACTGACTTACGGCACACCATCCACTTGGACTTTTGTCCACCCATGTCATGTGCCACCGCAACCCACACATCCAACTCCGGTGTTTCCGACCGCAGCACCTCCCCCGTCCTACCTGTTGCCATCACCTCAACCCACGCCGCCGGCTGAACTCCCTCCCCCCACTACACTGACACATCTCCCTCCAACACAGCAACAGCCTACGACTGCCAATTATCCATCCACAGACCCCCAATGCGCCATCCCCCAAGGCGTTTGGCAACCCTACTCAGCCTTTCCACCTGTCACACAGCCTTCGCTCCAACCGGGGCCCCCGCCACCGCCTGCACAAATTCCCAA